AGGATCACTGCTCCGCTACCACTGAAAGAGTGACTAGGGCGTACACGATTGAGGTGCAGACCGCTAGTGTCTTTTTCTACGCAGAGTCTTATCCTCTTGAGCCTTATGGCAGTCAAGCATGGACACACTAGATAGGCCACTGGAGTGGAACCTGTACAAGTAGGCCTCTACGTTTCAGCAGGCACAAAATTCATGTCCACTCCAGCCTATTGCGTATGTCGCACACTATTTTTCTACCGCAAGGCTAAAACAGTCCAGCAAGCTCTAGTAAGCTTAAAAAGGAAACTACGGTGCCCTATACTTACCAATTCCAGTGCGTTACACACTATAGAAAAGGTAATCTCTAGGTATACTAGACACAGTGAGGGAGCGATAGCTTACTCACCTCAAACACAAAGTCAAAGACAATGTATCTCGGCTGGAGACTGTATCGTTCACCGGCGAAAATACCATGTACCGGCGCTCAATAGCCCTTAATTAGCCAGAGCTGTCAGAAAATTTAAATTCAAAAGGGAAAGCGGCTTCTTTTGCACAGAGACCTATAAAAGCAGTAAACGACACTCGCGTAACGAAGAACTAAAATTTCAAGACCGCACAAAATGCAATGAATTAAGATGCCTTGCAAAATGCAAGGAGCGTAAATAATTCGGTCCGAGGAATGTTCTTCTCGAAAAGTGGTCTCGGCCGCTTCCATACACAGGACTTATACCAAAAATTTGAACTGCATCAAAAGGACTCTCTCACATTGATACCAAAAATCAGCCAAAAACAAAAGGAAGGAGATACCGGCAAATGTATGTACAAAAATCTTGCACTACAATTGCAAACTCATAAAATGACTTAATCATCAACCATAAATGGTTGTCCATTAGAGGTCATTTCAAAAGAGCGGCTGTGGTGGATATCATCAGTTCTGTAAAACTGTCCATACCTACCTGCAGATAATATCCGTTTAGTAAACTGTATTTATCTGCACGCTAAAGCTTATAAACCTGGAATGCAGGAGTATCTTCTTGGATAAAAAGTTTCTCCTTATTGCCAACCAGGGTTCATTAAAACTTCAGCCTGGCAACTTAAAAATCAGACCTGGAAGCAAAGTATCAACTGTAATCAGAAGTATCTTCACTTCCTAGCCATCATTTAAGATTCAGCCTCCGCTCTGAATTTATGCCGCTGCAGTCGATGAAGCTGCTTGATCAGAAGTTGGCGGCCTTCCTTTCCTTTTATTCTCCTTCTGTCTCTCCTTCCTCCGCAAGTTAGCCTCTCGAAGAGTCTCGCCCAAGCGATAAAGCTTCCTGTCCCCAGATGAAAAGGAAGCTGGTCTGAGTGAGATAAACATTGGGCCATGACTGTCATCGTCAGATGGTCTTGAGCACATAACCTCCGTGTCAATCATAGCAAAGTTCTCTGAAAAATTACAGACGAACTCCTTCGTGCTCACTGTGGAATTTGTATATTCCTCTCCACTCATTGAATGACCCCATTCAACAATGGTAGACAAACATGTATCGCCAAGCTTTGATCCCTGGTACATTTCTTTTTCTTCTGTAGAGTATTCTTCCCAGAGTTTCTCAAAGTAAACTTCACACTGCTTGAGGACAAGTGAAGATGAACTGTAAAATGTTCTGGGAATAGGTGCTCTGATACCAGGATCTGCTTTTACACGGGCTTCTGAAAACCTGCGGATCCAATGCTGCATGGTGCTGTAATAATAGTTAGCCATTGGCTGCCTTTTGTATCCAGACATTCTGTAGGCCAAACTATTTGCATCACCAGAAATGATGTCCACCTCATATACAAAACACTCATAAAGCATCAATGCAGTCTGTTCTCCTGTCAATAGGTGGGCATCCACAGCACGGTGTGTATCAACATGATAATTACAGACTCTGATGGTATGCATGTTCGCTCGAGTAAGTGGAACACGTTGGTCCTTAGGACCATAGTCCGCAAATTCAAAGTCTGCATCCTTGAATTCTTGACGAGGCCTTGTTTCTCCAAAACAAATCTCATAGATAGCCCAAGTTACATCACGCTGTGGACAGTGACCAAGTTCTTGGTCATGTCCAGCAATGACCTTGACATATCCACCTGGTGCCAATCTAGCCATCACTGCAAGATTCTCCCAATCATTGAAACAAACTGTCCAATTCTTTTGCTCAATAAAATCCTTGGCAGGAACAAGGAGATGAGCTTCCTGGAGAATCACGACATGTGCACGTAAAAAGAAGAGCATGTTGAAGAAAAGGTTTTTCAAATTGCTCATATTGAAGTGACATGTCACTCTGTTTGCGTGGCTTCATTGCACGATCAAGTCCTTGGAGAAACTTTGGTGTGGTGTATTTCTGACCACGAACCATGTTGCCATAGTTCCAGGATAAGAATGTCAAGGACTCTGAGCTGGCCAATAAGTTAGTTTCATATTGTTCTTCTATTCTTCCTTTGAGGAACCTTTTGCACAGCTCTTCATAGAAGGTGGCAAAGTCCCAACTGGGTCCCTTGGGACCATATTCTTCCAGTTCTTCTCTAAGTTGTTTCTTTGTATCCTCCAAATCTGCTCGAGCTTGTTCTGCCCTTTCAAGGGTCCTGGGATCGACCTGATACTTGTCATCCAAATAAATGATGCGGTCATCATTGATGAAAAATCTCTTCAAATCATGCTCTGAGCTGTCCTCATAACAATCAGGTGGAGGTACTGGACAGATCTTTCGAATGGATCGAACAAAGTCGTTCTCGTTGATCCTTGACTGATAGTGAGGACGGGAAATCTCACCTTTTCTGAAACAAACATGGTTCAACAATCTCGCGTGAGTTTCCCTGAAGCATTGTTGATAAAAGCCAATACCTGGATCTCCTGTAAGCTCTCCAAACAACCTCAAAGGTGAAGTGTGCAACTCATAGGTATTGTCAACATCCACTGTATCTGTATCAACAACTACTTCAGATGGAAAAGATTCTTGGATTTCAGCCTCCAATTTCTTCTCTCCATCATCCTCTCTGACCTCTCTTATCTTCTCCACCGCCTTTTTCTTCTCCTCAAGAGTTGCATCATCCTGAACTTCTTCATGAAAATGAGGATCAGGAATTTTATTTAGGCGGCTTTTCTTAGATTTCCGCAGACTTGAAGTATCATCAAGGTTAGCATCATTCTCACCTGATGCTAAGTGCGATGCAGCTGAGTCCTCACCTATCTCTCTTGGCAGAAAGTGTGACGCTGACTCATCCTTGGCTTCCTCCTGGTCCACTTCCATCTTTGTGTCCTCTGAAGGAAAAGCACCTGCATTCTCATCAAAAACTTCTTCATCTTTTACGAGTTCAACTGCAGGATCTTCTTCATGGACTTCCTCTTCCATATCTTCACCTTCCATAATCTTCATACTACCAGTAAAGATCTCACCAGTGATAGTGGAGACTCTTGTGTAAGGAGGAACTTCTTCACCTGCCTCAAAAGCTTGTTCTGCGACATCTTTGGTGAGCAAGTCCTCTACAAGATTTTCTCCCATGGTTCTTGGAAGAGATTCTGAGGTCTCAAAATAATCTGTCCTCTCTGAACTGAAAAACTCCGTTGCCTTCTCATTGACCTTTTTATCCTTAAAGAGATGAGTAATCTTCACTGCTTCTCCCTGTAACACCGGATCACCTTCTCTATACTTGTTGACAATGGAGCGCCATACTGGCACATTGTCATCATCAAAATCAAGCTCCATATCATCTGCCATCAAGTTTGAGATGTTTTGAGCTGCCTGTTCTTCTTCTTCCTCACGTTCTCTGGCAAGCTCCTCCTCCTTCTGGATCCTTAAGATACCCTTCAGGATGTTTTGTAGTACCTTTAAGTTCAGCTTCGATGATGGCTCAAACGTCCCTGAACTTACAGGCTCAACTACAACACGAGAGCAAGAAATCGCCTCCAAAAACTTGGAATTGTATTGGCGTTCAAACTCTTCCTTCTTGATCATCTCATACAAGGGATCAGAAACTGCAACACGCGCCTGAACATATTCACGAAGTTGATAGCATGCATGTTGCACAAATCTGCTGTTGGAGTTGTGAAGAAAACTCTCTAAATGGTTCC